CACACCCACACTACAAGAGTTAATGTTATTAATCATGTCTCTGCCAAACTAGAAAACGCACGAGGTTGGGCTCTTATCGCTTCATGTTTTCAGTAGTGTATGCAAAGATGAGAAGTTCTGACAAGGGAAGTACCAAATTAAGCCTTTTCCTCCCTAGAAGATGGAAGTGATTGTGTAAGCTCCCCCTCCCCTTCCAAACAGAGCTAGAATATTTAAGAATTTGTCAGCTTCTTCTTTTCCAGTCTTGACACCAGTGGCCATCACGACGACTGCTCCTTCGCTTTGAAAGGTCAGCTGCTGCTCCCACAAGAGGGGGAGAACTGTACCAATAGCTGTGCTGTGAACAATTCCCACTTGTGGGGGTGAGGAGGAGGAAGGCAGCGAAGGTTCTGCAGGGTGTGTTGGCCACCAGCTGGAGGCTCAGCAGACGGCTGCCCTGGCACCGGGGCAGCAGGGGAGCGGTGTGGGATCAGCCAGGGCGTCAGGCTGGGGTTCCAGCCCACATCTTCCAGCGAGCGCCTTCTCTGTGATGTGCAAATTGTTTCAACCAGTTTCTCTACAGGGTGGAGAAATAAATCTCTATTCTTTTCATTCTAGCACTATGAGATCATATTAATATTAAAAAGGGGCATGCCCATCTCTAGAATTATAGCTCAAGACACTTTTGTTTCAAGATCTGATGCATAAATCAAAAAGATAATTATTGTTGTAGCAAATAAAGCAGTTATGGAGCTAGATTACTAATTCCTACTACTGAAGTACTATTCCTCACCTGTACTAAAGGAATTATCTTTTGACAGAATGGCAGAAAATCAGTGAAATTCTCTTTCAAAAAAGGTGCACTGTCAGCTCTCACAGGAACCAGTTCCCAGCTCTGGAATAATTTGCATGGATAGTAAAGGAGGTAGGACAGTGGAGGTTAATTCCCTGGACAATTTCCAGGTTACAGCTGAAATGCCCTGTGACACTACATCATTTTCACAACTCTCTTAGGATTTCTCAGCATAAGCTGACACCAAACAAGCAAACAAACTGCCTGTCTAATAACATCACCTTATTGCCACTGTGGAAAGGACAAGGCCACGCACTACCTGGTCCCATTTTAATTATCTGGGGGCAAACAAAGTCAACGAGATGGAAGGACTGTACTTGAGCGAGTTTATGAAAGAATTTGCAGCACAAGTTCCTTACCCAGCTTGCTTCACCTTGAAGGAATTGCTTACCCTCAGTGCTGCCCCAACTGTCAAAATAAGCATATTCATATCCCTCCCAGGTTCAGCTGCAGAACCCTTTGATATCCCTCTGATGAAAGGCTCCGTGTGCTGCTATTGCCCCGTCCCACATCTGCTCATTCACATAGAGCTTTGGATGCTAGTTAATGCTTGTTAGAGAAGAAAAAAGCAGAAAGCAAAAAGTGAGGAGTGCCTTTTATTAAAGCTAATTTCTGAGGCCAACCCACACTTCCCACTGCTGGCTAAAAGACTCTTGATACTATTAACTCTGTTGCTCAAGCATGCGTTAAGTGTTTTAATACAGTACGAAACCTTTTATTAAATACTGATATGGGCAATGGGATGACTACTCCTAACATGCAATCTGTAGCCTAACTACATGTTCCATATTTCTTATTCCAAAAGCAAACAACGAAATACTTCCTCCATCTTGTTCCTTAAAAAGAATCCATTTTCCAGCCAAAAGCCAGTGAGATGATGATATAAAAAATGTCAGTTAAAACCCAGCCATTGCGACCCACATGGAAGGAAGTTCATGCTGACCAAACAAACGCTTCCTGAAGGCTACTCAGCACCTCACTTGGTCAAAACCTTCTGCAGCAAGAAGTTCTGGTTCTTAAAGTTTTCTCTTTTTTGTTAGAAACAGGTGCTCCTGAAATTATTCAAGTCAGGCATGAAACAAAGAAGTGGCCCCGGAACTGTAATAACAGACTAAGTGCAGCTCAGACCCTGGAATGCAGAACCACAACCCGACAGGTAACATCAGGACTGGCACAAAGCTCACTACCCAAAATAACCCTTGTGATAGTGAAAACCTCCGTACGATCAACACTGGGCAAGGGAGGTTTTACATCAGCCTGCTTCCTCTTTATAAATAAATATGTAAAAGGCTGGTCTAGCCTTTGATGTGTGTTTAAACACAAAAGTTCGCTAAACAAATATTTTTAACTTCTTTGATGTAAAGAATAATGGAAACGACAGACTGCACACATTAGAAAGTGTTTGGCTAGGAAAAGACTGTTTTATTATCAGCAAACAGCACAGAGCAAATTAACCAAATGATTCATTAGAAAAAAAAAACCAACCCAAAGCTGGCTGGTTTGGAGCAGACAGTTACTTCTCTTTAAGACAAACGTGGCTTTTTTCAATCCTAGCTCTGCATCGTGGGCTTTAGCCAGACTCAGATCTACACATATTTCAGAGGAGTTCAAAGAAGCTCTGAAAATTAAAAAGAACCAAAGAAATCGTTTCTGTGCTCTGATGGCTGTTTCAGAACAGACTTAAATGTTTATTACTTTTAACAGAAAGGCACATTGATGCTGCTCAGAAGTAAACTGGCAATTGAAACCCACAGCCAAGACTTGCAAATGGCTGATTTTACTCCAGCTCAGTTTCTAAGGTTTTAGTTTTATTTTTTTCCGAAACCTTAGGAGATCAGATTTGTGGTTCAAGAGCATGTCAGTCCACACCTCTGCCAGTTATCTGCGTGCAGGTGGATTTTTGATAAAGAAAAATGCAAAGACTGAGAAGATGACCTTGGGCTTAAAGTATGGAGACAACAGAGACATATGGTAACAACCCAGCCTGGATGTCCCAGCATCACGTAAAGGCACCCACCAGGTTTGCAAAAGGGAAACTTTTAGCTACACAGAAAATGGTTTCATCTCCCCAAGACCCCTATAAATGTATGATATTCATTAGTGAGGGTGCATGCAGGTATGTTATTCAATTAAAACTAAATTGTCATTATAAGATTGAATGATACATAATAACAGTATGTGATGATACAAACTATATGCTCTGGTTTCTAATACTTGAGTTAAATGGATTAGGAGAGGAGAGAAGCAAGAAGGTGGGAAGCTTCAGATCCAAAACTGTTAGCAGTAATAGTTTGGGACGTGCTTGCTCAAGACCATTTGCAATTTTCACAGATACAGTCAGTGTGTTCACCACCTTGCAAAATCAAGTGTAAGGTCTTTCTCCTAACCAGAATGAAATGAAAAGAAGCGGCTGAAGGGATTTTATAAACCAAATCTGTGTCTGCTACTGCAGTGATCTAAACCTCTCCTGTAGGTATCTGTTACAACCAAGAACATTATCACAAAGATCTAAGGAAAAGCAAAGTAGAAATAATAGAAGCTTAAAACAGCAGTCTACAATATATGCTGGTACCATTTCTTATCACTTTATTTCCTGTAAGAACTCAAAGAAGCCACCCAGAAAATCTACACTAAGATTTCAGTATAAACTATCAAATTATTCTATTTTTATTACTCTTATTTTTCTGATAAACACTGAATTAAACTTCCTTATACCTCTCTTTTCTCTTCTGACTCCCTTCCTGGACCTGTACCTCAAGTCCATACAAAAGACAAGAGTAACCATACCTCAGGCTATGCTTCCTCCAAACCCAGGTTCATTTGCAGCCTCGGATTTGCTGTTACTAGGAAAGACCTTTCTGCAGAGCCAGAAGATGGGTAAGCACTAGTAATCTTACTGCAAAGCACTGTGAGAAACATCATGCAAACAGGCTGAAAGAAAAAAGAGAAAATGTCTTCTAGCAGGCACACAGAATCTTCCTCATTTATAACAAAAGCAGAAATTATTGATAGTAGAAAGATGCTGCTCAGTTGACAGGGTCGTGCTGTCAGCTGCTGAGCTGCTGACTCTCAGAGGGACCTGCACCTACTCTAATGCTTATTGATGTGAATCTTCTTAACCTAAATGAGGATAACCACAGTAATAAGAATGTCAGTAAGATTCTTCTAAATTACTACACATAAAATGTCTGCAGTCACACTCATTTTAAGACAATGATCAAAGAAAATGGCTTATATGTTTTATTTTAGACATTTAAAAAAAGATAAGCATGAAATAAAAATCTTAACATTTCCTTAGCTCATTAGCATATACGTTACAAAAGCAGTATGATAAAGCACTGTGCAATTAGAAATTATCTGTGTCTTAAAATAACAAATAACTTGGGCATTGCTAACACATGTAAAACAGTGTGTTGTCCTCAGACACAGGCAAGCCCTGATCTTGAAACATGAATGCACGAAGATGTGTGTGCAGGTTTAGGTATGAACTTTTCCCAGCAGCAGTGTTTGGACATCCAGGTGACTCTTACACAAAACCAGTCTTGGGTCTTCCAAAGACCAAATGCATGATCACTTGCATCCACAACTTGGGTTAGAAATAAATCTTTGTATCGAAATTACACATGCAGAAACCAGACTAATTTTGAACCACTTTGAAAAGGTAGGACCTAAATTATCAGCAACATTAAATCCCAGTTAAAGATTTATTTGAAATTACCTTGATTTGCCCTACTGTTGGTAATGTTCATGTGAATAAACCATGACCTTCCTAACACGGAAAAAGGATTAGTTTTTACTAAAAATAAACTGTGTGTTCAGACACAAGCAGAACACTGAATAACTGCAGCTGCTAACAGATCATGAAAGTGGTTTTAACTTCTGCTGTCATCAGCTGATAGGACTTTTTAATAGTCTTAGAACACATATGGATCTAAAATTTTGCTTAGTAAATATTATGAGATTTTTCTTTCTATAAATACTACACCGGTTTGCATAATATTAATGTGTAACTTAACAGAATTATCTTCATTACAGTTTTAAAAGACTAAGATACTTAACTAAATTTACTTAAAAAAATGTTTATTTAAATTGCTTCCTACTTTTTGCATATGCTTTCCTAAAACAAATCTGGCTGCCCACCCCTGCCATCAGGGTAATGTTTCAGACTTTATGACTTCTTAAGCCTTCGCAGTTTTAACTTCCCAAGACCATTTTCAGCTTCTTTTTTTCTTTTTTGGACAAGCTTCTCTGAAGACAGAGGCCGCAGCTCTAAACAAGACGATGGCATCACAGGCAATTCTTCAGCAGTTGTGCTTGGCTCATCTTGGCTTGTCTGCACTATATTGTTCCTCTCAGAAAGAGGCCGGGAAAGGGTTTTTCTCAGAGTTAGTGACTCCTCATCAGACTCAGTCTTTGTTACATCTTGTTTAGAAAATGACCTGGAATTAAGTGGGGTCTTCTTCTCCAGGAATGGACCTAAACAATCCTCATCGCACTTACTCGTTTTTGTATTGCCAGGAGTTAAAGGAGACCCTTCAGAAGATACTTTTTTGAGGCGTTCTAACTTTTCTTCTGAACCACAGTTCTTTTGTTGAGCCTGTGTCTTGGTCGCTTTCTGACTTTGTTTTGGACCCAGCAGTGCTGACTCAGAGCTACACGGAGGGTTCTTGCTTAGAAGACTCGACTTCAGCCTCTCCACGGAGAGAGGTTTTTGCTGGCTGCTAACATCATCTGGCTGCCTCTGATTAACATAATTTTCCAGCTCTAAAACAGGAAGCTCCAAGCTGCTCTCAGCTGTATTTATGCAGTCCTTTAGCAGTCCTGTACTCTTGCATTTCACTTCAGATGGAGGACTGAGAGAACTCTGACAGTCATTCTTTCTGTTCCCCGTCTGTGAGTCCACCGAGCCAAGATACACTTTCTCAGAGCCCTTGCTGATTTGAGGTTTGCTTGTGCTAGTTTTCCTTGGTTTTGTCCTCTTCACACTGCAATATAAAGCAATTTTGTTTTTAAACTAAAATCTCTGAAACACCACGAGGGTAACCCCCTTTCTGAATGTGGAAAAAGGCCCTGTAGATCATCTTGACAAGCAGTAATGTTTGTCCAGTGTGGATAATATCAAGTGTATCCATTTGATTTTCCACTGCACTAGGGGAACCCTATTTATTAATGACTAAGCCATGAAGGAGTTCACATTCTATTCCAAGAGGCAGAACTGGATACATTACAGATGTTAAAGGTCAACACAGCATAAGTATATTGAATTCCTTCCCAAACCAGCTAGATAAAACAGTATTTGATAAGTGCCTAAATCATTTCAAACCATTCCCATATATTCATATGCATCATGTATATCTAAAGACTAGAGGGGGCAGGCAGGGAGAGGCAGTGTGAGCATCTCTGTGTGAGAGCTTCTAATCTCTGTTTTAGAATGTTCCTCTGGAATTTTTCCCAGGACATTTCAAAGCCTTACTTTAAAGTTAACCACTACTCTAGTATCATGCCCATTCATCTGGGAAGGACTTTGGTAATGCAAGTAGATGATATTCTAAAAAGGAATTATACAGGAAAATGGGATTGCAAGGGACCTGATGAAGTGTCAGTACATAAACACTCCTCAGCAGCGTGCCACCTACCCTACAAATCCAGATTTCACGTAGGCTGTAAGATGAACTTGATCAACAAATACTGAAGCTGAGTCTAAAGATACTAGTGTTGATCATCTCACGCTGAGACTGCTTTCTGCTGCTCTGCTGCTGCCAAGCAGCTCCTGGGTCAGTATATCTAACTCTCCAGAAAGAGAGCTCTTCCAGAATAGGTAGAGCTGGCACACCTCCAAACCTAATCTCGTTTCTAAAGACAACACAGATGAGACAACATGGGTGAAAAAGAAAAGTTGCCAGGGTTCACAGCAAATCCCTGATTGCACAGTTGATTTGGGGCTACTGGCAGCTTGCTCAAGTGAGGGCGGCACCCTGGTACAGCCAAGGACCAGAAGAATGTTCAGCTGAGCAGCTGACCCTCCCCGTCCGCTGTGCCAGGGACCCTCGTTCATTGTCACCAAAGATCCAGACTAACATCATGGCACACTGCAGACTCTCAAAATGAACAAAAAGTATATTTGCAAAGTGTTTTTCATCAGATTCGAGCATGACATATTTGCTTTGGCTCAGAGCTTCATTCAAGGAAAAAACACCCTGTTTTGATACTGCCTAGTGCTATGTGAGAGATCTGTGTGGGTTGTAATAGCTTTTTTTCATGCTGTACAAAACAACAAGGATCATTTTATCTGCTTACCCATGCTACAGTTGTAGTCTCTTAGTAATTTAAAATTATCTTTTGTAAAGGAGTTTATATTATTGGAAATTTTCTATATTCCATTTACCCAAATTTTAACAGATTATAAATTTAATGCCTTGGAAAGAATAATGACATACATTTCTTTCAAGATGTCTTGCTTTATTTGTTCATTCAGGCTCATCTTAAGCTTCTTGTTCTCAACAGATTCAGTAAAATATTCAGACGTCCCATTGGAAAGTTCTTCTTTCTGCTCCAAAAGAAAATACAGGTTTAAAACATGACACATCAAGCTATGATTATTCAACACAAAACTCCATTTCTAATTCTAAGACTTACAGATGTTCTTTATTATTTTGATCCGAGCAGTCTAAGAGAAACAATTATTTTTAATCTTTTAATATTTGAGAGTCTAGTCAGTTCCCTCCCCTTTCAGACTCCCAACGAATATATTTCACATGCTAAAATATACCACAAACAAACAAGGCTGTAACGTAAAGGATAGAGCTTTCCAAGCTGTCTGAGGAAACTGTTGGCAAATATTTGACATCTTTGTGGCTCAAACTGTGACAAATGCCAGGAATCTCTCTTGCAGACAGGAGCATGTTTGTCAGGTTTTTTTCTGAAGAGACTGACTGGCGCAGCGGTCTATACACTTATTCTCAGAAGAATTCCCATGATTTTCCATCCTGACAGAAAAATATACACTGTTATTTGCTCATTTAAGAAGGCAAGGGTTAAAACTTTTAATGTGAACATTGAAACGCTCGCAGCCTGTAGTGGTTGGCTACTAGGGGACAACAGGGGAATTCTTTCTGGTCTCAGCTAACAGCAGCACCGTGGTTTTATATAATACAAGATTGGGGCGAGAGGGAGGGAAGGAAAATGCTCTTTTTCTTCAAGCTGTGAGCATTTCCTTTCACAATGAAACAATCTCACTGAGAGAAGGGCCATTTGCTGACTTCACTAGTAACTACCACATACATCAAAAAAGTATTATCTCTGAGGCTATGAAGAGAAAAAAAATGTGGCAAAGTCAAGAAGAGAAGAGGCTTTGTCCATCTCCTTTTCTTTGATAGCATTTTCTCCACCAGCCTGCATGATGCAGCTTCTGATCGGGGCACATCAGCTGCAGGGAGTGCTCGTCTGGGCCGTTCCTTGCCCCGCTCACTGGGGCCAGCAGGCTGGAGCCAGGCAGCTGGGAAGGTCTGGAGCAAGCAGAGGAAGACTGCAGAGGCTCAAGGCCAACGCGTGTACATGACCCCTGCCTGCAACACCCCTCAGGAACCTGTTGCTTACAGGGGATTAAGCCCTGCCTGGTTTAATTTTTATTTCTATTTTAAAGAAGAGGGGGGAACCCTCACTGCTCCTTCCAGCAGAACACACCACTGATAACAACTTCCTGTTTTCTAAGCAGAAAAAGAAATGAAGCCATTTCAACAGTTTAAAAAAGTGCAGCTGTTTTGAGCCTCTCGGAGGCAGATTATGCAAGCATGTTTTTGAGTGTATTGACAGATGCATGAAGTGCTGTCCACTAACACTGCCATATGTGTTTACAGCAGGCAGAAAAGACATGGGACACAGGCAATGTGATTTCAGCCTCAGAAATCAAGCCTAACTAGTTTAATCTAAGGGATTAATTGCTGCTTCTCTTCTTGTTAGAGGTATTTGTCTAAATACACTTTTATATTCTGTAAACTATTAAAGCAAGGAATATTACTAAGATACACAAGAGCTTTGCTAATTTTAGAAGAGGACACAGACCCTTAACAGTCAAGTCTGTAGAAACTCCTCAAATTCCAGTAACACTCACATAACTCTGAAGGCTCTTGCACAATCGTTCTGCACCAAAGCAGCTGGCGAGCACTCTTACTTAGCCAGAGAACATGAGCACAAGCAGAAACATTTGAATTCCTGCTTGATAATAACTAGTCAGGCTAATTCTATTAAATCTGCTTCAGTCCTCAGCTGAGGACATCAACACAGCAGACTGACAGGATCACCAGCCTGCGAAGGAAGTTCTTGTAGATGCGGTAAGCAACGGGTGCAAAGAAGCACTTTGTACAAAATCCAGTTTCTGTCCACACCTGGTCACTACTGCAGCCAAGCAATAACGCCCAGCAGGAACCTGTACCAGATTCTGAAGGGTGCATGGGCCCTGCCTGGGGCGTGCTGTCATGCCAGGCTGTGAGGAGCAGACCTTGAAAAGGGGCAAAGCTGACAAAGCCATGTCACTCACGAGTTGAGTCAGCCTGGAGTGAATGGTCCAGAGTTGAAGGCCAAGGCATTCCCTCACTACACCATCATCAGACTTTTATTTTGTTTTCAAACAGCTTATCACATAAAGTAGTGACAGAAAAGGGTTAAGGCGTGAAAAAAAAAAAATTAAAAATCAAAATGATTTATATGTGAAACACTTCTGAACATGCCCTCTAAGTACAGTAGATTTTCCCCTTGGAACCACACCCTGTAAGTGCTGTATTTTGAGAGCTGAACAATTAACATAAGGCATATGAGTCAGTCTTTGAAAGACTCTGTGGGAACCAGAGAGCCTTTTGCTGTTAGGAGTGATGTAAACTCCCTAAGGCTGGAATAAGTCCACAATAGAAGGCAGAGAGTCATAAATAACAACAATGGGCACTCCATATACTACTAAGACACTCAGCCATTATTGGTGATACTTCCTTTATTTTCTTTATTAGACTTAATAATTTTAGTTAATTAAAAAAAAATAAAAAAAACACTGTCTGTTTTGGGAATACTATTTATTTCCTATGGGAACTTCAGGACTTGTTAAAGAAAGAAAAAAAGCTAATCTGCTCTCATCCTGTCTAGTAATCCCGAATTCCTTTTAGGCAGTGAAATAATTAAAGAAAAATATTCCAGGCATAAAAAGGAGGACGGCAGAAGCAGACATCACATAAACAATGACACCACGACAGAGAAAAACGTCAAAGCACCGCCAGGCCTGCGACTTGACTCTGAAAGAGCTGCAGGGAGTGGGATTGCTGCTAACAAATTAAAACCACATTTCTTGGCAAATTGTTAAAGACAGACATATTTACATTTGTATAGAGACTGGGTGGGCACAAAAGATTAAAATGCTGCTTTAGCCCTTGAACTGCCAAGTTCTATTAGAAATCTGTGCTCTTAAGATTCTAGGGTAAGCTCACTCTTTTTTGTCACTAAAACTCAGCAAAGAAGGGCCTGCAGAAATGAAGCTTATGAAGTCTTACTACTCTACCTGCTCACAACACTGGCCTCTCAAAACCTCATGTTAAGATCTTTAGTATTTATCCAAAGAGATGTCTGGGAGAAAGACTCTGTTAAGATCTACAGAGAAACATGACTGCTAGGTACATAATATAGTTGCTTTAAAGCTTATGAAATTGAAAATTCATTCTCCTGCTATCTTATTCAACTTACTATCTCATTCAAAATGAAAAAGAAACCCTCAGAAATGTAAAAGTGGTGACTGTCATCTGCAGCTCTCTCCAGGATGGCCAAGTTCAGGTGTCAGAGCATTAAATACCTGTAAAAAAACTACTCATGGGTGTGCATTTGGGAAGAATCCTTACAACTCGTTATCCTGAAGGAGAGTGACAGGTTTGGCTTTTTCAGCCCGACAATAACACTTGTAGAAATATATTTACTTCTCCAATCTAGGGTTTGGGATGCTGGGCTGAAAGAAAATTTTCCAAAGTGAACAGTGCTGCCCCCCCTTCCCACCTCTCATTTGGTTTCATACTTTCTAGTTGTTTGTTATTATGCTCTGGGTAACAGTTGCACATGCTTATGTAGCAATAAAGCAATGCGAGAGGATAATTAAATTTTGTGTCTGGTTAATGGCAAAAAAAGCCAACACAATAAAAAAATCACACATTGTTTCTGAATTGTATTCAATGTGGCTCAACTTGCTCATCAAAAAATACTTAATAGAAAACATCAATTGGTCCAATAAATCAAATTTAGTGTCAGAATGCCATACAGGAGGGGACTGAATATAATCATGTAGATGAAACAATGGAATAAAATACTATGCCAGGCACACAGAAGTGAATAGAATTAAAATCAGTAAAAGGAATCAAACAGAAACTGTTATTTAGGGGAGCTTCACGTGAGCTTGCAACCACGTGATTTCTCTTAATGCTACTTTAAGCAGTATCATGAGCTCAATCATCTAAGATAACCTTCAGTTCTCAGAACTATTCTAATAGATGACTGGCAGATCAGAGAGGTCACACAAGACTCTTTCCAATCTGATAAAGAGAAGAAGGCTCCTAAAGCAAGTGAGTAGGCTTGTCAGTGAAGGATGAATCAGATACTATTATCTAACTGACAGAAAATCAGAGATGGGACTTTGGGTCTAAGTCTTCTGCCCTCTCCCATCCCACATGAAGGAAAAGTTTCTCACAATCTCACGATTAAAATTTTTCAGCATTTCCAATGTAGTGATGTATCTTTCCTAGCAATTCTACTTATGAACTCCTACCATCCTACCACATCATAACACATTCATAGAAGTATTTTTCCAAGTACAGAAATGGATATTATTCTCAAACTCAAATACAGTGGCTTGATGTGACTTGTGGAATATTGCTCTACATTTTAAAATGGACTGTCCTGCTCTAAATGTCAGCAAATTCCAGTAAAAAAGATTAAGGATCATTCTATGCTACACATGGGAGTACTGATGTTTCATTTGAAACAGGCATTTTTAAGGAATGTTGATGGTTTTAAAAAGTACATTCTTGTCAAGATTGAAACTGGAGAAAGAACCAGAGCAAACTGCATCTCTCCAGTGAGGAGCAGAACTGTATGGCCTACACAGGACCTAGCACAGAAAGCAAAATATAGCTCCTGGTTTAGCACAGTCTTCATTATTTTATACCAACATTCATTTTGATTTCATAGCGTGGGTCTTAAGTTTTTGCTAGTCAAGAGTCCTTTTGGTCTGCATTACTCAGCTCAAGAGTAATCCCAGACTATTCTGAATGTAGGAAATTCAGAGCTCTCTAGATTTGTATTTGAACGCTTGCTAGATAATAGGAAACAGAACAATTTCTAATAAGCTGTAAGTGGCACGAAACAAGTTATGATATCTTATTAAAAAAGTAAAGTTGCAGGAGGGCCTTTTAAAAAAATGGCTCCACACCTGTAACACACATAGCAGGAACACACGTAACACTTTCTGAAGCCACAGAAGGTGCTCCTGAAACAAACTATTTATTTACATATGAGAAGCACGTG